ATATATATATATATATATATCATAATAAAGACCATGAAACTTGGTATTATCATATTGGAGGCTAGTGAGGAAGGATAAGGTTTTTCAATATGGAAATATCATATTACAACTTAAAAATTGCAATATTTTCATTTGCAATTATCCTTGTATTGGGATGGGCATGGAGAATCTTGAATTATGTTTGGTTCAAACCAAAAAAATTGGAGAAACAACTAAGACAACAAGGTTTCAAAGGAAATTCTTACAAGTTGTTGTATGGGGATATGAAAGAGATGAAGAAGATGATTGAAGAAGCTACATCCAAGCCTATTGATTTCTCACATGACTTGATTTGGCCTAGAATCAACCCCTTCATCCACAAAACCATCACAAATTATGGTAAGTAAATGGGCAAATATGACCCTATTTGTTATCTTTTAGCTGGTTTGATAATATAGAAATTTTTACTGTGTATAAAATTTTATACCATCAGGTCACATTTATCTACGATAGTAAATAGTATGTCATCTTTTAAAGATTATAAATATAATTTTTAAGGAGTTTAACGTATAGATATCCTTTTTAGATGAGTTGATTGGGTAAATTATGCTTTTAAATGTACTAATGTGATAAGATAGAAATTGGGTGGATAATGAGTGCGACCTTCTATCATTCTTTACTTTAATATAAAGCTTATGTATTCAACAAGGTTTGGACCCCTTGACATGCGCTTTTAACATACACATGATGTGATGTGTTCTCCTTACCACTAGACCAAAGTTCTAACGGAAGCTATTTACAATATTTTGTAGGTTATCAATCCATGCTTTTTATACAAAAATTACTTTGTAATTGAATAATTGTGTAACATTTCTTTTCAAAACATATCATACATACATACAATCATACATGTATGCATAAATTTGTCGTACCATCATAAATACATATACATACAATCATACATATGTATAGTGATAGTCATACAACATACATACATACATATAAAAATTAATAAACTTAAGTCGTTATATCGCGTAATTTTCCCTTTCACTTCAATTTTGTAGGTAAGAATTGTTTTGTGTGGTTTGGGCCCAAACCAGCAGTCCTCATCACAGAGCCCAAATTGATAAAGGAGGTGTTAACAAAGAACTATGTTTATCAGAAGGCACGTGGCAGCCCACTATTGAAGTTGGCAATATCTGGGCTAGCGGCCCATGAAAAAGATAAATGGGCCACACATAGAAGGATTCTCAATCCAGCTTTTCACATTGACAAGTTGAAGGTTTTGAAACTTTGTTATACTCTTTTCGTTTCAATTTTTTTGTCTGATTTCGACTTGACAAGAAGTTTAACAAAGTAAAGAAGACTCTTGATATCTTTTCGTTTAAAATATAGAATATACCAAAATGATCTTTAATTTTGTGATCTTAAACATGTCATGTCAAAAGTTTAAAATTAAAGAGTTGTCAAAAAAAAAAAGACATTGTTTTTGAACAGGACTAAAACAAAAAGTAATACAAATTGAAATCATTTCTCTTACTACTTACTATTCCTCTTGTTTCGATTTGATTGAGCACAGAAATAAAGACTGAAGTTAAATATATATGTATTAAAAAGATTCATTAAATATGTATAAATATTAAGCTTTTCATAATTCTTGAATTCTTATTAATGTGCAGCATATGCTACCTGCATTCAAATTGACCGTTAACGAAATGTTGAACATATGGAAGGAAGTTATCTCGAAAGATGGAACAGAGATAGATGTGTGGCCATATCTTCAAACATTGACAAGTGATGCAATTTCAAGAACTGCTTTTGGCAGTAATTATGAAGAAGGAAAAAAGAATTTTGAACTTCAAAAAGAACAAATTGAATTAATTTCAAAAATGACACACTCAATATACATTCCAGGATGGAGGTAAGAATTTTTTTTTTTATTCAATTATGAATTCTGAATAAAACTCCAAAGTTAAGCATGCTTGAGAAATGAATAACCACATAAAGTTTTCATGTTGCAGACTTTATATACATAATTCTTCAAGCATTTAGAATCACCAACCCTTTATTTTATTTAATATTATGTTATATATATATATATATTATTTTATTTTTCATTATGAATTCTGAATAAAACTTCAAAGTTAAGCATGCTTGAAAATAAGTACGTCGAACTAGGATGGATAATCGCATAAAAATTTCGTGTTGCAGACTTTATATACATAATTCTTCAAGCATTTAGAATCACCAACCCTTTATTTTATTTAATATTATGTTAAATTAAGTAATAGTTAACTTTTGTAAACTTCAATGACCAAAACAACACATTTCAAATAATTCAAGGTTAAATATGTATAAAATAACACAGGGATTAAAAGTGAAATTATGTAATAATACAAGGATTAAAACTGCTATTTCCCAATTGAAAATATATGGTTTAGTTGAATGTAAAAGATAGTATTGTGTTATCATTCTTTTATTAGTTCGTGAAACAAATTTTAATTATCTTCGAGAATCGTATTTACGTGTCTCTAAGTACTCTATCAGATTTCTTATATATTTATTTTTGTATCAATAATTATTGTTATCATGATCATGAACTATAGGTTTGTGCCAACTAAAAAGAACAAAAGGATGATGCAAATCTTCTATGAAGTAAAAGCACTTATATTGGGAATTATAAATAAAAGAATGAGGATGATTGAAGCTGGAGAATCACATGATGATTTATTAAGTATATTATTGACATCCAATTTAAAAGAAATACAACAACATGGGAATAAGAAATTTGGTATGAGCATTGATGAGGTGATTGAAGAGTGTAAATTGTTCTATTTTGCTGGACAAGAGACTACTTCAACTTTACTTGTGTGGACAATGATTTTATTATGCAAGTATCCTATTTGGCAAGAAAGAGCTAGAGAAGAGGTTTTACAAGTGTTTGCAAGTGATGAACTTGATTATGATAAGTTGAATCAACTAAAAGTAGTAAGTATTGCCTACATGCTCAATTATTTTGAACTTTTTTGTTATTATGGTAGTATCTAGGTCAGTTTGCAAGTCGTACCTCAACCAAGTACTTTATATATAAATATATCAGGAAACTCCACCAACCAAATACATGAGAAAAAAATTCTTGGAGTTTTTATGTATTGAAATTCGAAGTAGTCTTTCGTGATTTTTACTAATATCACTTTATTGACAACTAGGTCATACTCTTCGGCCTAACTTTCATTTTTTAGCACCTAAGTCGGTAAACCACTTTTTGTAATAGAAAAGTCATTCAACTTTACTTAATAATCCCAAAAGTTTTTAAATTAGTTTTTTAATCATAATGTCACTCAACTTCATCTAAATATTATCAAAATGGTAATCAAGTTCTAAATTCTACTTTTTCTTATAAAATCAATATGTTTAATGGCTATATTAACTTGTGATCTATTATTTTATAGGTGACTATGATCTTAAACGAGGTCTTAAGGTTGTATACATCAGTATACGCGATTAATCGAATGGTAAATACAGAAACAAAGTTAGGGGATTTGTGTTTACCCTCTGGGGTGCAACTCATATTAGCAACAATGTTAGTGCATCATGATACTGAAATATGGGGAGATGATGCAATGGAGTTCAAGCCAGAGAGATTTAGTGAAGGAATATCAAAAGCAACAAAAGGACAAGTTGTATTTTTTCCATTTAATTGGGGTCCAAGAATATGTATTGGGCAAAATTTTGCTATGTTAGAGGCAAAAATGGCAATGGTCATGATTCTAAAACACTATGCATTTGAACTCTCTCCATCCTATGCTCATGCTCCTCATCCATTATTACTTCAACCTCAATATGGTGCTCAATTGATCATGCACAAGTTGTAGAATTGGTCATCATGTGTTGTCTTTTGAGTCATGCTATATCCTATATGTATTATTCTTTAATTATAGTTAAAGTAAGTAGGAGTTTAAGGATTGACATATATAGTAGTTATGTATAAGTGAAGTCATATATTGTATTGTATAAGAGTGGAGCACTTTATTATAATAATATTAGTGCACTTTATGTTTATGATTTTCCTCTTCCATTCTTTTTGCAATAACTCGGTTGGTCATTTTTGGAAACTTTCGTGAATTTACCGTTTTTTCCCTTCCGATATCGACTCTGAACGATTTTTGGTTGAGTTTTGAAAGTTGGTTTTGAACTTTGAGTTTAAAGTTGAGAATTTGGTAAGTTTTGAGTTTGAAAGGCTAAGTTGTTAAAAAAGTGGTTTTCAGTGTCTTTTGGAGTTTCAAGTGTCGGAATGGAATTTCATTGATTCCATCAGTTTCGAAATGTGAAATCTGATCTGCGAAAGTTGTCGGTTTTAGATTTAGAGTTTTTTGAGGATTTGAGGTCCTAAGTTGTGAATTTTTGGAAATTTGGCCTTTGAATTGACTTTGGTTAATATTCGGGGTTCGGGTGCTCGGATCGGAATTCCAAAAGTTCACTTGGGTTTGGGGAATGATTTTAGGTCTAGCTGAGGTCTTGGTTGATTTTTGGGAGGTTCCAAGCTTGTTTTAGCCTTTTAGGCGTTGAGTTAGTTCCTTGTGACTTTCACAGATGTGTTCAGATATGTCCAGATACATTTATCTCAGGATAATATTGTATCCAAGTGGATTTGCATGTATCTGGGATACATAACAAGTCTCACACGCCTCCCTCGCCTTTCTCCCATCTCCCTCACCACTCTCCTATGTATCTGGTATCCCAATACATGCGAATCACACCAGATACATACATATACATGTATACAGTGTGTATCTAGCGTGATTCACATATATATGGGATACGTAACAAACTCTCGTTCGCCTCCCTCCCCATCTTGCTCGCCTCTCACCCTATTTTAGTGTATCTGGTAGCAAAATTATATGTATCGAAGTGTATCTTTCTCAATATATGGTAACAAAACTCTTAATTAGTGGTAATATACATAATATTTTGAAGTATTTCCAAGCAAGTTGCATTAAAAACTACACAACATAATTATATTGACTGAAGTGTATGATCTATTACAAGAAAAAACATGTTCACACATATATAGTTGATGATTACAATGATATAAATCTAATAATAAGTTCCAAATGATCATTTCTCCAACTTGTACAAAATCAAATGAGCACCATATTGAGGTTGAAGCAATAGTGGATGAGGAGCATGAGCATAAGATGGAGAGAGTCCAAAAGAATAGTGTTTGAGAATCATGGCTATTGCAATTTTTGCCTCTAACATAGCAAAGTTTTGGCCAATACATATTCTTGGACCCCAACTAAAAGGAAAAAACACAAGTTGTCCTTTTGTTGCTTTGGCTACTCCATCACTAAATCTCTCAGGATTGAACTCCATTGCATAATCTCCCCATAATTCAGTATCATGATGCAACAAAATTGTTCCCAACAAAAGTTGCACCCCAGAGGGTAAACACAACTTTCCTAGCTTTGTGTCTTTGGTCACCACTCTATTAATAAAATATCCTGATGGATACAACCTTAAAACCTCATTTAAGATCATAGTAACCTATTAAAAAGAAAAATATCACTAGTGATTAGTGTCATCATGACAATATATAAGGGGTACAAATAGTTGAATATTATGTTAAGAGTATCTAACATAATATCTTTAGACTGACTAAACAAAATAAAATAGCACTCTCTCTATAATGTGCGGTTATAAATGACCTCCCTAACGATATATATATTGAAAAATTATAAAACTAAAACGTGACATTCTTTTTTATACAGACTAAATATAGAAATTTGTCTACTTACCACTTTTAGGTGATTCAACTTGTCATAGTCAAATTCATCACTTTCAAACACTTGTAGAACCTCTTGTCTAGCCCTTTCTTGCCAAATAGGATATTTGCACAATAAAATCATTGTCCACACAAGTAAAGCTGAAGTAGTCTCTTGCCCAGCAAGATAAAATAATTTACACTCTTCAATCACCTCATCAGTGCTCATACCAAATTTTTTATGTCCATGTTGTTGGATTTCTTGTAAATTGGATGTCAATAGTATACTCAATAAGTCATCATCTATTTCTCCATCTTCAATCATCTTTATTCTTTTGTTGATGATTCCTAATATCAATGCTCCCACTTCATTAAAGATTTGTTTCATCCTTCTATTTGTTTTTGTTGGTACAAACCTATATGGTTAATTCAAGAAATTAAGTAATATGAAGTTGAATTCAAGAAATGTTATCGAGGAAATGATCTTTTCTATATTTACTTATAATTTGAACAAAAGAAAAAGTCATGATGAAGATCTCATGCATTATTTTTTGTTGATCTGCTTTAGAAAATGTCACACAACTAAAATAACATTTTACTTGTCACCTTTTACATATCAAAAAAAGATAATAATTTTGTTTTCATGTTTTACCCTCAACATTAAATACTTATTTTTCAAATCATTTTTCCAAGACATCATTTTATAGAGAAGAGTTTGATAAAATACCTATATCATTTATTATTTTTTTAATGAGTGTGTCAAGTCAAACTGTGACAAGTAAAAGTGAACAAAAGGAGTCTATCTTATTTTAAATTAATCTAAGGTTCAATAAAGACTAATCTTCTTCCAATGCTCAATTTAATTTAAGGTTCATATTATTTTAATTCAAGGTTCAAATTAAGTTAAAGGTTCACATTATTTTTATTTAAGGTTCAACTTTAAGTCAAGGTTCAAATTGTATGGCATTGTTGTATTTTAATATTTATATTTAAACTTTCTAGTTCCCTCATTGCTTTTGCTTCAAATATCTACATTAATATATAGTAAAAGATCTTCTTTTTCTTTCTAAAAGGGAAGATTATTCTTAATTTAATAAGAGTTGATAAGTCCAAATAGTCTAGACACAAAGATAAAGAAAAAGATTGATAGAGAAAATGACGTGCAATAAATCTATGGATTTTTTTGAATTTTCAAATACGTGTGGTTGGAATATAATTTCTTGATCACTACCTTGATTCACGAATTAAGTTATCTTGAAATTATAATTTTATAATTAATTTGAATACTTAGAAGATGAGATAAAATAATATCAAACTGAATGAAATAAACAGATATGTAAAATTAAATTAAAGATATAAATTTATTCCAAACTTAATTATCTGATATATCACCTTCTTCCATTAACCAAACAAGTAGCAACCCCTTATGACTTTTAATTTATTAATTTAAAACTTCATTTTCTTCATTTAGTATGTATATATATGGTACTAATATCATAATAAAGAGCATGAAACTTGGTATTATCATATTGGAGGCTAGTGAGGGAAGGGTTAGGTTTTTGAATATGGAAATATCATATTACAACTTAAAAATTGCAATATTTTCATTTGCAATTATCTTTGTATTGAGATGGACATGGAGAATCTTGAATTATGTTTGGTTCAAACCAAAAAAATTGGAGAAACAACTAAGACAACAAGGTTTCAAAGGAAATTCTTACAAGTTGTTGTATGGGGATATGAAAGAGATGAAGAAGATGATTGAAGAAGCTACATCCAAGCCTATTGATTTCTCACATGACTTGATTTGGCCTAGAATCAACCCCTTCATCCACAAAACCATCACAAATTATGGTAAGTAAATGGGCAAATATGACCCTTTTATGCATTTACTATTTGGTATCTTTTAACTGATCTAGTTATGTATAAATTTTTACTAATATCATTGGTGTATAAAATTTTATATCATCAGATCACATTTATCTACGATAGTAAATAATATTTTTAGATGAGTTTATTGTGTAAATTACACATTATCTATGACTTAAGCTCTTATATTGTACTAATATTGGGTGAATAATGATTCCAACCTTTTATCATTCTTTACTTTAATATCGACCTTATGTCTTCAACAAGGTTTGGACCCCTTGACGTACACTTTTAACATACACATCATGTGATGTGTTGTTCTTATCACTAGACTAAAGTTCTGAAGGAAGCTATTTATAATATTTTGTAGGTTATCAATCCATGCCTTTCATACAAAAATTACTTAGTAACTATATAATTGTGTAACATTTCTTTTCAAAAAAACATATCATACATACACTAGAGGCATACATACATACAATCATACATGTATACATACATTTGTCGTACCGTCATAGATACATATACATACAATCATACATACGTATAGTGATCGTCATACAACATACATACATACATATAAAAATTAATAGACTTAAGTCGCTATATCGCGTAATTTTCCCTTTCACTTCAATTTTGTAGGTAAGAATTGTTTTGTGTGGATTGGGCCCAAACCAGCAGTCCTTATCACAGAGCCCAAATTGATAAGGGAGGTGTTAACAAAGAATTATGTTTATCATAAGGCACGTGGCAGCCCACTATCTAAGTTGGTAATATCTGGGCTTGCGGGCCATGAAAAAGATAAATGGGCCACACATAGAAGGATTCTCAATCCAGCTTTTCACCTTGACAAGTTGAAGGTTTTAGCCATTTTGAAACTTTGTTATACTCTTTTTGTTTCAATTCATTTGTCTGGACGTCTAATTTTCACTTTGACAAGAAGTTTAACAAAGTAAAGAAGACTCTTGATATCTCGTTGTCTTAAACTATAGATATATAGAATATACAAAAATGGTTTTTAATCTTGTAATCTTAAGTATGTCAAAAGTTTAAAACAATAGAGTTGTCAAAAAAAAGAAGAAAAGAGAGATTGTTTTTGGAAACTGACTAAAACAAAAAGTAAAACAAAAACATTGAAGCCATTTCTCTTACTACTTATTATTTCTCTTGTTTCAATTTCTTTGTCATAATTTGACTGTGCGCAGAAATGAAGATTGAAGTTACATATATGTGTTAGAAGATTTATTAAATATATATAAATATTAAGTTTGTGATAATTCTTATTAATGTGCAGCATATGCTACCTGCATTCAAATTAACTGTTAATGAAATGTTGAACACATGGAAGAAAGTTGTCTCGAAAGACGGAACAGAGATAGATGTGTGGCCATATCTTCAAACATTGACAAGTGATGCAATTTCAAGAACTGCTTTTGGCAGTAATTATGAAGAAGGAAAAAAGAATTTTGAACTTCAAAAAGAACAAATTGAATTAATTTCAAAAATGAATATATATATATATATTATTTTATTTTTCATTATGAATTCTGAATAAAACTTCAAAGTTAAGCATGCTTGAAAATAAGTACGTCGAACTAGGATGGATAATCGCATAAAAATTTCGTGTTGCAGACTTTATATACATAATTCTTCAAGCATTTAGAATCACCAATCCTTTATTTTATTTAATTTTATGTTAAATTAATTAATAGTTAACTTTTGTTAATTTCAATGACCAAAACAACACATTTCAAATAATTCAAGGTTAAATATGCAACATCAAATAATACAGGGACTAAAAGTGAAATTACGTAATAATACAAGGACTAAAACCGTTGTTTCCCCTTTGAAAAAAACATGTGGTTTAGTTGAATGTGAAAGACAGTATTGTGTTATCATTCTTTTATTAGTTCGTGAAACAAACTTCAACTATCTTCAAGAAGCGTATTTACGTGTCTCTAAGTACTCTATGATATTTCTTGTATATTGATTTTTTTAACAATAATTAATGTTATCATGATCATGAACTATAGGTTTGTGCCAACTAAAAAGAACAAAAGGATGATGCAAATCTTCTATGAAGTAAAAGCACTTATATTGGGAATTATCAATAAAAGAATGAGGATGATTGAAGCTGGAGAATCACATGATGATTTATTGAGTATATTATTGACATCCAATTTAAAAGAAATACAACAACATGGGAATAAGAAATTTGGTATGAGCATTGATGAGGTGATTGAAGAGTGTAAATTGTTCTATTTTGCTGGACAAGAGACTACTTCAACTTTACTTGTGTGGACAATGATTTTATTATGCAAGTATCCTATTTGGCAAGAAAGAGCTAGAGAAGAGGTTTTACAAGTGTTTGCAAGTGATGAACTTGATTATGATAAGTTGAATCAACTAAAAGTAGTAAGTATTCCATACACATGTTCAATTATTTTTAACTTTTTTTGTTATTAAGGTGGTATCCAGGTCAGTTTGCAAGTAGTACATCAATCGGATACTTTATATATAAATATATTTTAGGAAACCCCACCAACCAAAGATTAGGTAGATGAGGAAAATATTCTTGGAGTTTTCGGGATTTTCACTCATATCACATTATTGACTACTAGGCCATACTCTTCAGCCAACTTTCATTTTTTGCACCTAAGTTAGTAAACTACTTTTTGTAATAAAAAGTCATTCAACTTTACTCAATATCACCAAAAGTTTTTAAATGATAATGTTACTCAACTGCACCTAAATATTATCAAAATGGTAATCAAGTTCTAAATTCTACTTTATCTAAATCAATATTTTTAATGGCTATATTAACTTGTGATTTATTATTTTATAGGTGACTATGATCTTAAACGAGGTATTAAGGTTGTATACATCAGCATACACGATTAATCGAATGGTAAATACAGAAACAAAATTAGGAGATTTGTGTTTACCCTCTGGGGTGCAACTCATATTAGCAACAATGTTAGTGCATCATGATACTGAAATATGGGGAGATGATGCAATGGAGTTCAAGCCAGAGAGATTTAGTGAAGGAATATCAAAAGCAACAAAAGGACAAGTTGTATTTTTTCCATTTAGTTGGGGTCCAAGAATATGTATTGGGCAAAATTTTGCTATGTTAGAGGCAAAAATGGCAATGGTCATGATTCTAAAATACTATGCATTTGAACTCTCTCCATCTTATGCTCATGCTCCTCATCCATTATTGCTTCAACCACAATATGGTGCTCAATTAATCATGCACAAGTTGTAGAAGTGGTCATGTGTTGTCTTTTGAGTCATGCTATATGTATTTTTCTTAAATTATAGTTCAAGTAACTAGGAGTTTAAGGATTGACATAGTAGTTATGTATAAGTGAAGTCATATATTGTTTTGTATAAGAGTGGAGTACTTTATTATAATAATATTAGTGAACTTTATGTTTATGATTTTCCTCTTGTAACAAAAAAGTCACTCAACTATACTGAAGTATCATAAGAATGATATTATGTCCACAATCACCATGTCTTTTTTTTTTTCCTAAACAAAGTTGAGTGATATTTTTGTCACAAAAATTTGTTTAGTGACGTTTTGTGATACTTAAGTAAAGTTGAGAGACTCTTCATTACAAAGAGTAGTTTATTGACTTCAGTGCAATAAAGTGAAAGTTGACAAGCAATTCATAAAACTAATCCAAAAGTGTGGCCTGCTTAACAATGACGCAAGTGAAAATCATGGGACAATATAGTTCAAGTAAGAGACAAAAAAAACTCTAAGAAATTTCTTCTCATCTGCCTAATCTTTGGTTGAGAAGTACCCAATTAAAGTACGTGCATACCGAATGAACACTATCGTCATAACAAAAATGTTCAAAATAATTGAGCATGTAGGCAATAGTACTCATCACTACTTTTAGTTGATTCAACTTATCATAGGCAATTTCATTACTTCCAAACACTTGTAAAACCTCTTCTCTAGCTCTTACTTGCCAATTGGGATGTTTGCACAATAAAATCATTTTCTCAACACTTCACTAATAGTCAATTTGAATGCAGGAAACATATGCTGCACACTGATGAGAATTAATTAACAATAAGTTTGCAATTATAAGTATTAAGAGTTTGACTTTTATAAATTGATTGTCTTGAGAACTCTTAAAAATTAAGTCACATAAAAGATAGATAACTATGAATAATTGTTTATTAAAAGTAGAATAATAACATAGAAAATAAGACATACGGTAATATACTACAATATATTAAAGTGGGGAAACTTAAATTTCATTTGTTTAGGAGCTAATTACTTAGATACACTCTAGTTTGCAATATTACATATTTTAATTACCAAATTTTGGTGTGCCCAAATACATGTATCTCAGGATACATTGTGTCCAAGTGGATTTGCATGTATCTGGGATACATTACAAATCACACTCACCTCCCTCGCCTCTCTCCCATCTCGCTCGTCACTCTCCTATGTATCTGGCATCCCTAATACATGCGAATCACACCAGATACATACATATACATGTATAAGTGTGTATCTAACGTTATTCGCATGTTTTTGAGATACATAACATACTCTCGCCCGCCTCCCTCCCCGTCTCACCCTATTTTAGTATTTCTGGTAGCAAAAATAGATGTATCTAAGTGTATCTTTCTCAATATATGATAACAAAACTCTTTATTAGTGGTAAGATACATAATATTTTCAAATATTTCCAAGCAAGTTGCATTCAAAACCACACAACATAATTATATTGACTGAAGTGTATAATGATCTCTATTACAAGAAAAAAAGAGCAGGCATGTTCACTCATATATAGTTGATGATTACAATGATATAAATCTAATAATAAGTTCCAAATGATCATTTCTCCAACTTGTACAAAATCAAATGAGCACCATATTGAGGTTGAAGCAATAGTGGATGAGGAGCATGAGCATAAGATGGAGAGAGTTCAAAAGAATAGTGTTTGAGAATCATGGCTATTGCCATTTTTGCCTCTAACATAGCAAAGTTTTGGCCAATACATATTCTTGGACCCCAACTAAAAGGAAAAAACACAAGTTGTCCTTTTGTTGCTTTGGCTACTCCATCACTAAATCTCTCAGGATTGAACTCCATTGCATCATCTCCCCATATTTCAGTATCATGATGCAACAAAATTGTTCCCAACAAAAGTTGCACCCCAGAGGGTAAACACACATTCCCTAGCTTTGTGTCTTTGGTCACCACTCTATTAATAAAATATCCTGATGGATACAACCTTAAAACCTCATTTAAGATCATAGTAACCTATTAAAAAGAAAAATATCACTAGTGATTAGTGTCATCATGACAATATATAAGGGGTACAAATAGTTGAATATTATGTTAAGAGTATCTTTAGGCTGACTTAACAAAACAAAATAACATTCTCTCTGTAATGTGTGTGTTATAAATGATCTCCCTAACGATATATTGAAAAATTCTAAAACTAAAATGTGACATTCTTTTTTATACAGACTAAATATAGAAATTTGTCTACTTACCACTTTTTAGGTGATTCAACTTGTCATAGTCAAATTCATCACTTTCAAACACTTGTAGAACCTCTTCTCTAGCTCTTTCTTGCCAAATAGGATATTTGCTCAATAAAATCATTGTCCACACAAGTAAAGCTGAAGTAGTCTCTTGTCCAGCAAGATAAAATAATTTACACTCTTCAATCACCTCATCAATGCTCATACCAAATTTTTTATGTCCATGTTGTTGGATTTCTTGTAAATTGGATGTCAATAGTATACTCAATAAGTCATCATGTATTTCTCCATCTTCAATCATCTTTATTCTTTTTTTGATGATTCCTAATATCAATGCTCCCACTTCATTAAAGATTTGTTTCATCCTTCTATTTGTTTTTGTTGGTACAAACCTATGGTTAAGTCAAGAAATTAAGGATAATTATAATAATGTCCTTATATGAGCAAACATTAGCCTTGTGTATAACGTTGTCTGAAAGGATAATTTTTCTAAGGATTATATTTGCGTGACTTTAAAATAAAGACAACATTTAAATAGTAGATGTACCTCCATCCTGGGATGTATAATGAACGTGCTACTTGTAAAAGTAGTCCCATTTGTTCCTTTTGAAGTTCAAAAATCTTTTTTCCTTCTTCATAACTACTACCAAATGCAGTTCTAGAAATTGCATCACTTGTCAAAGTTTGAAGATATGGCCACACATCTATCTCTGATCCTTCTTTCGAGATAATTTCCTTCCATTTCTTCAACAACTCCGAAGAAGTCAATTGAAACGCAGGAAGCATATGCTGCACATAAAGCAATCAATAGTAGATGCGAATTCAAAATCTAAAGTCAATTGGTTCAAAATAAGTATGAAGTTGTTATATGCGTATATTTGAAATATTTTTTATGTATGTACACATAGATAGAGGTGAATCCTGATTTTGAAGTTTATGAGTTTTTACAATGATCTCAAATTAACATAAAATGATAGTTAGATTCATAATCATTTATTTGCAAGTATATTTTATAGATTTTTTTTAATACCAATAAAGGGTATAAACAAAAGTGATTGTGTTCACGTGAACTCATACCTTAATTAAGGACTAGATCCATCCTCGTGACAGAGATGGATCCAGGATTATTTGAACTTTATGCTTTTCTAGATTCTAGAATAGAAACTTTAAATGCTAGTCAATGGATTCTAAATTTAGTTTATGTACATATTTACTAAATTTCTTATCACATATACATGATTTGTGTCAAAACTATCAAGTTCTGTCTAATGCTACCTCCATCGTTGTACCCACACATAGTTGGAGCCGAAAGCAATATATTTAATTCAACCTATGGAACTCACCATAGATAATCAAATGAGTTTTAGTTTATGTAACACAATATCCAACTTTAACTACCTATACTTATAATCTGATGATATCGATGAGAACATCTCACACAAATTGAAAGGACATATAGCTTCATAGTAATAAATAATAATACCTTCAATTTGTCAAGGTGAAAAGCAGGATTGACAATTCTTCTATGTTTGGCCCATTTATCAGCTTCATAGCCAGCAAGCCCATTTGCTGCCAACCTAGTTAATGGATTGCCAGGAGGCTTTTGATAAATGTAATTCTTTGTTAACACTTCTCTTATAAGTTCAGGGTCCACTATAACCACAGCTGGTCTTGGCCCATACCAAGCAAAACAATTCTTACCTACATTTGAATGAAAGATAGTGAAAATGACTTGGACTGATCAGTTTATTCAAGTTTAAGTGTCTACTTGCTCACACCTAAAGTTGGAGGGCATGAATGTCAGTTGAAGTCAAGTTAAAGGGAACGTTTATGTATTATGCCTGTTATAAACTGCATCATTCTGAATCCATAAACTTCAAATCCATCTATTGTATAACTAATAGTAATTAAGGTTGAATACATACCATAATTATTGATGGTTTTGTGGAAGAAGGGCATGACTCTAGGCCAAATCATGTCATGTGAGAAATCAATAGGCTTTGACAAAGCTTCTTTTCCCATTTTCATCATTTCTTTCACATCCCCAAACAAAAACTTGTAAGAATTCCCCTTGAAACCTTGTTGCCTTAGGCATTTCTCCAACTTTTTTGGTTTGAACCAAACCCAATTCAAGATTCTCCATGCCCATCTCAATACTAAGATAATTGCACAAGAAAATAATACAAGATTTAAGTTGTAATAATTATATGGAATCTCCATACTATAGGCTTTATTTGAAAGCTAGCTCTTTGTTCCTACTAGTACTAAATATATACACACTTATATAAAACAAGTGGATGATTAAGAAATTGCTTGACACAAACAAAATTATATTTTATTTGAAGTTGATGAAGCAATACATGTCATATGAGTAAAAACTTATTTGTATCAGGTGTTTACGTCAAATCAATTAATAGATGCACATCATATGTATAAATATATAATAACATCAATTAACCATGATTTATTAATGTATATATATTCACTCTATTAAATTATTTAACTATAGTAAATTACATCAGTTTAATATAAACACTTGGTACAGAGATCAGTATTCATGTATCTTCATTTTTTTAATTACAATTCAAAGTCAAATGGAAATAGGGTCATCCTTCCAATGCTTGGTTGCTAAGTTTTAGAAAAAAATATGAAAGTCAAAATGGTTAGCATATGAAATGTTATTTCCTCCCTTATTCTATTGTGGAAGAAAGACTAATTATTAAATTATTTTATCTTTCCTTGTCGAACAAGGATTATATTACTTCCTTTGTTTAAAAAAATATTACATATTTTTCTTTTAAGTTTGTTTAGAAAAGAATGATCCTTTTCTTTTTTGGATAATAGTATTTTTTAATTTCAACTTTCCACGCACTATAACAAAAATAATTTTTAGCGGTATTAGTTAAGTGCTATTATAGAATCAATGTCGCTAAAGGCTTTAGGGATATATACAAAGAGTGCTAATTAATTACCGCTAAAGATTACATATTTAGCGGCAATTAAACTATTGTCGTTAATTAATTGCCGCTAATGATTGTTTTTGATGTAGTGACGTAGCATGTTTAAGGTTACTAGATTAAAAAACATTTTGATACATTTGACATAAATTTAAGGGATAAGGGTCTGAAAAATACCCCAACTTTGGTCGGATTTGTTGTTGCGATACTAAACTTTCATGAGGACCTATTACCTCCCTAGCCTATTTAATACCGTATTTTTTACTCCCTGAACTATTTAAGTGTATTTTAAAGGTATATATGTGTCCACGTGGACACATTACTATTTATAATTTTACATTATTTTTTATGTCCACGTGGGCAAATATATATGTTTAAAATACGGTATTAAGGACTGCTTAGAGTTGGACACAGAATGCCTAATTCAAATTGAAATGTACAATGATCCGGGAAATAAGATTTTAAATAGTCTAGGGAGGTAATAGGTCATCATAAAAGTTTAGTATCGCAACAGCAAATTCGACCAAAGTTGGGATATTTTTCAGACCCTTATCCCTAACTTTAATTTAGAACCACAAGATTGAAAAGTTTTCTTTATTTTCTTAAACTTCATGCCGAGTTAAATTATGTTATTCTTTTTTAAATGGAAATAGTATTAAATATAGAGATAATTATAGTCTAGTGTTTTTGGGTGATTTGATTTACGAAATAGTAGATAACTGTATATATTTTGTATGATATGCATATCATAAACTTGATATTTTAAATATGTAAGAATTGGTTTTCATATTTTTTTTTATAAGAACTAATGTGTAGAATCTTTCTATTATCATTTTGTTTTAAAATATTTTAGGTTCTCTAGCTTATACAAAAAATTGCTAAACGAAAACTTATCCAATTGACAAACAACTTTCGATAATATTATTATATATAATTCAACAAATTCTTAATTTGATAATATTATTGCATGAGGCTTACGACATGATGATGTATGTGATTTCAGAGTGATTTTTGATCTTGTTCATGCTTTTTATTTTTGCATTTCTTTCGTTTTGTTGGGTTGAGGCTGACTGGCCCTGGTGGAAATATACAAGTGTCATCACCTCCATTTTTAGATCGTGACATAACCAGAGTTGCACCCCAGCTGGTAAACACAAATTTCCTAATTTTGTTTTTGTTTGTACAATTCGATTAAACAAAAACTTGTAAGAATTTCCATTGAAACCTTGTTGTCTTAGTTGTTTCTCCAATTTTTTTGGTTTGGAGTAATAGTGTATCTCAATGTATCTAACTTATAATATGGTATAAAGTTATTAATTAGTGGGAATGTATGTAGTTATTTGAAAAGTATAGGTAAGATTAGTATATATGATATGGATGTATATCTAATATGATAGTTTAACCTTTTAATTATTTTTTATTTGGCCCACGAACAAGCCCAACCCACATTTCTTAAGCCACATTGGCCAATGGGCTTACTCGAGCCAATCTAAAAAGTCTTGTTCTTAAATAGGCTCCAAAAATCATAGCCCGACCCAACCTTATCAAATCACGAATTGGACTTGTCCTGTTCAATGGGCCTAGTCTATATTGTCGGCTCTTGATATATGAATAATATCAAACAAAAAAGTCTTTGGAATGATATGATTTCATTAGTCAATTTAAATTACACCATCCAAAATTTAGGGGGAGTAAATTGGGTGAATCAAAATGGACTGAACTAACAAATGGGTGATGGGTATAGTTCCAGTTCTCTTAATATCCTCATCATGAACAAGAGTAAAAACCATCTTTTTTACAACCAAAAAAATAGACGAAGGTTCAAAAATACACCTCAAACTATCAGATATTTCCTTTTTCTACCTGAACTATTACTAACTATTTATCAAAGCACACCTTAACTATCAATTGTTCTCTTTTATTACCTGAAATATTACCATCGTTCAAGTAGGACAAGTGAACAACCAATAGTTGAGGTGTATCGTATCTCGATAAATATTTTGTGATAGTTCATGTAGGAAATTTGCACACATAATAGTTTAAGTACAAAACTCAAAAAACTAGAATTTTTTAGGTGTGTTTTTACTCCTTCAATCAATAAAATATAACAACCCAATACCATGTAAGCAAAAAACAAAATAGTGGTGTATATTAACTATAACTATAGTAAACTAACGTGGCTACAAGAAACTCCAACAACAAAAACATATTCAGTACAATCCCAGAAATGGATTCGGAGGATAAAATATACGCAGACCTTATCTGTATTCTATAGCTTGTTTAGAATTAGTTGAGCACCATATTGAGGTAGAAGAGTGAAAACTGAATAAGGAACATGAGCATAAGATGGAGAAACTTCAAAAGCAAATTGCTGTAGAATCATAGCAAGTGCCATTTTAGCCTCCAACATAGCAAAGTTTTGTCCAATGCAATTTCTAGGTCCCCAACTAAATGGAAAATATGCAAATTTTCCTTTTGTTGCTCTATTGACTCCTTCACTAAACCTCTCTGGATTGAATTCTTTAACATCTTCACCCCATATTTCTTGGTCATGATGCAACAATATTGTTGGCAATAGGAGTTGCACTCCACTTGGTATTGACAAGTTGCCTAATTTGGTTTCTTTGTGTACCTCTCTACCCATCAAAAAAATTGGTGGATACAATCTCAAAACTTCTTGCATAATCATGGTTACCTGTATTAAAGTAGCAAAACAACCATCTTAGAAAGAGTTTAACTTCTATGCGCAAACAATGTAAAAGAGGTTTACACTATCAAGCTAAGTCACCAAAAATATTGATATCGACATGTAGGTTGCCTATATTACACCCCGGCCCCTTTGTGTGGCCCTTCTCAAACACTGTGTGAACACGAGATTCTTCATGAAAAGGGATTTCCTTTATGCTACTTATCTTATGATAAATGAAACACTAATTGATAACCTGATAAAAATGGTAAACGAGCCAACCTACTATCAAATATTGAACTATTCTTATACTCTAAAAATACCTTTATATTGTCGGTGTATATATATCTTAAATCGGTATTTTAAAAGAGTAGAAAAGGATGATATGCAAAAACCTTGTAGTTAGATCATGAACTTACAACTTTGAGTTGACTCAACTTATCATAATCAGGTATGTTGTTGCCAAAGACTTGCAAAACCTCTTCTCTAGCACGAGCTTGCCAATCGGAGTGTTTGCTCAATAAAATCATCGACCATACAAGCAAAGCTGAAGTTGTCTCTTGTCCAGCAAGATAGAACAATTTACACTCTTCAATTACCTCATCAATACTCATTCCAAATTTCTTATTTCCATGCTCTTGGATTTCTTTCAAGTTGGATTCCAATAATATGCCCAATAAGTCATCACTATTAGACGTCTCCCCTGCTTCAATTTCATTCATTCTCTTATTGATTATTCTCAATACTAGTGAACGTACTTCCTGATGTAGACGGTTCATCCTTCTCTTTTCTTTGGTCGGCAGAAACCTACGATTCATTAAAAATATTATGAAAATAGCATTCAATCACAAAAAGAATTTTTCATGGTGGTTAGAATATGAAGGTAACTTACCTAATGTAACTTGCCTCTGTCTCTTTTACAATAATTTTGGCTAGTTCTTGTTGAAGTTCATGTATCTTTCTACCTTCTTCATAGCTACTTCCAAAAGCAGTTCTTGAAATGGCATCACTTGTCAATGTTTGAAGATATGGCCACACATCTACCTCTGATCCTTCCGTCGAGACAATTTTCTCCCATTTGCTCAACATCTCACAAGTAGTCAAATGAAATGATGGTACCATATGCTGTATATTTTACATTGCATTAGAGACAAATTAACAATCAGTATATACTAGAGTTGGCATACTGACAGTATAAAGAACTTTTACACTAACGGTGACCAGGTTACATGTCTTATTTCATAGATTACTAATCTCACTTATTATGAACATTCATCTTTTAGAAGATTCGATAGTGTAAGATATCAAAGCTACCCCATAATCTAAATAATAATGTTAAGGGACTTTATCAAACCTTCAACTTGTCAAGGTGAAAAGCAGGATTGATGATTCTTCTATGTTTAGCCCATTTATCTGCTTCATAGCTCAAGATTCCTTCGGCTAGCAGCTTCGTGAGTGCAGGGGGAGGTTTCTGGAAAATATTACTCTTCGACAAGATCTCCCTTATATGTTCTGGTTCCATGATGAGCATTGCTGGATTTGGTCCCAACCATATAAAAGAATTCTTACCTGCAAGTAAGTAAAATATCATTAGTGGGAAAAACATCGAAGCGTTGTTGAATTCTCTTAACATAAGGGAAAGTTTAGCGTAGCAACATAGTTGGATTTCGGTTATCACCTATGTTTACTTGTGTTTCAAT